TCAATTTGGTTATCATGAACTTCAAAAATAACAAATAGTTATCAAATTTGTTTAAAATTGAATGGAAATGACTCTTCCGGTGGCCTTGAAGGCGAAGCGTCCTCGACATACTTTTTCTTACATTTTTTTTTCTCATTATTAAAAAATAATGACTACCAGTTTCTTTCGGGATAGTTAGAAAGTCTGAAGTGCAACATAGAATGACCATTTAAGATGGGTAGTGAGTTCAATTCACTTATACTTATCCTAAATAACCAGAGTTTATCATAAAAAAACATTATAAAAGCAAAACCATTATAGTTCTATTATCTAGAAATTGTTTTTCATACATGTAATAGCTGTGTTAAAGAATCTCAAAAAACGTATTGATTCTTTTTTTAAGGAACGATTAAAAATGATAAAAAAGGTCCTTAGAGGTCAATATATAGACTTATCTGCAAATATAATTATTTGAGGACAATTTTTTTTTTTCACCTTCTTTATAATGGACACATATGTAAATCACTCTTACTTTGCACCCTCAACTAAACTGTTCATTTATTACAGTAATATATCCTAAGCTTTATAATATTAGCAAATTATACCCTCAACATTAAGAGGGGTAATAATTAATGCCTAGTATAATGAGTGTTATTAAATTAATGGTTCAGAATACAAAATTTGCATGTAACACAGTTTGAAAAATGACAAATTTTACTTTGATATATGAATACTTGTCTTAAAACGCCAATTTGATACTATCAATTAGCTATTGAATCTCAATTGATATTAATTTTAAAATTTACGTTGTAATTTGTCGAAATTAAAATCTTAGGATGTATTATGCAAGAAAAAGAAAAAGTTAAGAGGCAATGGTACAATTATCAGTTTGGTTTATAGACCGTTCCATTCGAAATCTGAAGGTTGATTTCAACAAAAACTTAAGGGTAATGTTGACAAATATTTTTTAAAAGTATATGAGTTATGATTTTTAACTTTTATTCTTAATTTAATTCTTTTTTAGTTAAATAATTACACTAATAAAAAAATATTTATTAAAAATAAAAAATAAAAATTCAGAAAGATAAATTTTCTATTTTTTCATTAAAACCTCCCAACTCCCGAGCCGTGAAGTGTGAAGTGTTATCAAATCAGGTTGACAACGTAAAACCCTACCCTAAACAAGATACAATTTTTTTTTTTTTTTGGCATAAAACGAGATCGTATTTCCTAAAAACGACTTGGGCCATGATCAGGACAAACGTGACTTGGCCCATAAGAATCTGGGCCTGGACTCAGAGTCGGTGAATATGGTTTAGTTTCCAGATTGTTCCATTTGAAATCTCAGCCGTTGATCTCACAAAACCCTAAACCCACCAAAACCCTAAAGCCTCGCCTCCCCTATAAAATGGCGGCCACGATCTATCCTCAACGCTATTAGGTCATTCTTTCTCTCTCTCTCACTCTCTCTCTTAAATCAATATTTTCTTTTACGGCTGTTTCTATCTTCTTCAAGAGGCTATGGAGTAATTGTTTGACATTCGCCCTTGGCTTTGACGGTAGCCTTTGAATCATCCGTAAATTGATGAACTCTCTCTGCGATTTTGTTACGTTTATGTTTTCTCGATTCAGTTTTTTTTTCCGTCTTCTGTAGAAAATCGGCATTGTTTCTGAAAATTCTTTTCTTTGTTTTGTTGAAAACCTGTAAATTGTTTGCAATCGATTTTTGGTTGTTTTTGTACGTCTATGATGATAATTTCAAGGCTTGTTTCTCAGAAACATTCGCAGTGGCCGCCTAAGAGCTTTCGCCTCCGCCGGGCTTGAGAGCTAATGCTGCTTAATCCTTCCTTGGATGTCTGAGACTCCCACAAAGCTTTATTACGCTACCCTCTAGTTTGTTAATTGCCTTTCTTTTGTTTGATTTTCGTAATGTTGCTGGAATTGGATTGTTTTGGTTAATATTGGCTTTTGGTATATGATTTTCTATCTGCTTTGTAGAATGTGCAATAAACTTATGTTTTATGTTTGTATGTTCCTATTGTTGATGATGACAAATCTAAGGCTTGTTTCTCAAAACATTCGCAGTGGCCGCCTCAGAGCTTTCGCCTCCGCCGGGCTTGAGAGCTAATGCTGCTTTATCCTTCCTTGGATGTCTGAGACTCCCACAAAGCTTATTGCGCTACCCTCTAGTTTGTTAATTGCCTTTCTTTTGTTTTCTTTTGTTAATGTTGCTGGAAATGGATTGTTTTGTTTAATATTGGATTTTGGTATATGATTTTCTATCTGCTTAATAGAATGTGCAATAGATTTCTGCTTTTTGTTTGTATGTTCCTATTGTTGATGATGATAAATCTAAGGCTTGTTTCTCAAAACATTCGCAGTGGCCGCCTAAGAGCTTTCGCCTTCGCCGGGCTTGAGAGCTAATGCTGCTTTATCCTTCCTTGGATGTCTGAAACCCCAAAAAAAAATGGAGTAATTTTTAAATATGCTGTCTAGTGTGTTTAATTCCTTTTCTCGTGTTTTTGTCATGTTGCAGGAATTGATTAATTCTGGTTTATATTGGTTTTGGTGTATATATTAATGGTTTTTCTGCCTGTTTAAATGCAAGCATATTGTTTTGTTCATTTTAATTTGGTATTTCAGTGTTCTCAATTCTTTACTGTTTATTACATGTTTCTGTTTTGTCGATGTATGTTCCTAGCTTTTTATGTAGTTTTCTTTGATTATATAGTTTGGAAAATTTTATTAGCCCCTGATTGCTATATATTTTTTTATTGTTCATTCTTTGTAGCGGAATTGTCTAGGATGATAACTACGAAGGCTTGTTTCTCAAAAACTTTTGCAGTGGCCGCCTAGGAGCTTTTGCTTTCGCCAGGCGTGAGAGTTAGTGCTGCTTAATCTTTCCTTGGATGTCTGAGCTAGCTTTCTCTAATTGCATTGACATCTTCGTTTTTTATATCCCTTTTTTTTGACGTGATTACTTTTACATGTTTGATTTATAGCAAAATTGCTTTAGGAGTTTTTCTTTTATTGCTTGTTCACCAACTAAATGGAATGCTTCAAGTGGTAGATTTTGGGACAAAACGTCTGCCCCCTTTAGCAGTGATCTTGTGAGTGCTTTTGGGATGAACAAGTCCCTCATATTTATTCAATTCCATCCTTTTCACTTTGTCAGCTGTTTCTTGGTGTCTAGCTGATCATTTTGGGATGGAAAATTCAATAGTTTATGTTTTATCAAATTCGTTTTAAATACTGTTTGATCAAATTTATGTTTGACGATGAAAATCCTGAGGCTTTGTTTTTCAGTGTTTTCATTTGCTCACTTTTTGTTATATGTTTCTTGTGTCTATGTTCCTGCTGTTGATGATGACAAATCTAAGGCTTGTTTCTCAAAACATTCGCAGTGGCCGCCTAAGAGCTTTCGCCTTCGCCAGGCTTGAGAGCTTGTGCTGCTTAATCCTTCCTTGGATGTCTGAAACATTCATATTGTCTTCCACTGTTATTTCTTAAGCATGTTCTATTTTTGTATTCTATGAACATATTCTCATAATTGAAAATTTTAAAATCTTGATAATGATTGCATTTTGTTTGTTTTATGTTGTACATATTTCTCCAGATATGTGAACACAACAGTGTAGGGATATTGTTGTTTGGAAAGGCAGTGATGAGCAATTGAGATGTCATGCACCACTCTGAAAATTGATTGATGACAAATTTCTCATACCCATTACTCTGATGCCTATTCTTTTCTTCATTATAAAACCTGTTATGCTTCTCTCATTCTTACTGTTTTAATTGTTTCTGAAAATAGTTTGTATCTTCTCTAAAAAATTTATCCTTATTGGATTATTGTTCTTTTTACTTTATTCAATTTTACCATGTTAGATGTGTTTGATGTTGTCTGATCTTCCGTTTGCTTCATTTTTTTTGGTTTTTCTAATTACTCTATTATTTTCTTTGTTTCTATTTGATAGATTTTTACGTTAATTCTGTATGTTTGAGAGCCTATGATGGGTTTAAATATACTTTGAGATCAATGTCTATGAAAAGAAATTAATCTGAGGCTTTCCAGGCTCGAAAATTAAAAAAAAATCTTTGTTTAACTTGTGTTTTACTTTTTTCTTTTAATGGATTAGGTTTGAAAGGTAACCAAATGATGGGGTCTTTGAGGACTTAACCATGATGCGGACCGTACAGCTTTTGTTAGCTGCTGGGGATAAATCTTGGTTTCTGATGGTTATTCTATATCCGGTAAGAAAGATCATGGTGAGGATGTTCAAAAAATTTACCAAACCATGCAATCCAAATCAAACCCAAACAAATTGGTAATTTTTTTTTTTTTGGATTATGGGCTTTTTGGTAGTTTGGCGGATTTTTTAATTCGTGTGAATTTGTTAATGAGAAGGTACGATGACGAAGTTTTTCATAATCTCGTTAATCTGATTTAACATGAGGATAATTTCTCATCCATTCAATGACTTTTCTGAGCACCTTCTTTCTTCTAGTTTTTTTGTTTTTTGTTTTTAATTTTAGAGTTCGTTGTTGGTAGTTTGAGATTAATCTATATGAAAAGATATTGATCTTGAGGCATTTGTGCTCCAAAATTTAACTTCTGTAGGTTGCGACCCTTGTCCGTTCTCTTTCTTCTATTATTTTCTTCAAATTGGTATAATTATGACTCCGGTCTGTTGGGTATCTCTCTGATGGACATTTTATTCTTCATTTTGATATTTTAAATTGCTTTTTCGTACTAAATACTTCTTGCAAGTGATGATAAACAGACAGGGACATCAGCACTCTAATTGAGGATGTTGATTTGTCGTTGGGAATCTCTCTGATGCATATACTATGGCTTCATTCATTTCACCATACTTGTTTTTCCTTTTTAAATGAAGCCTATATATTCTTTTTTTCATTTTTCTTAAGATGTTTAGCAATCTTGTTCATACGTGTTTATATTGTTTTGTTTTTATTTAAATTTTGCAAATATATTTTGCCATTTGCCAGTGATGCATTTCTAATGCACGTATTATCAGATACAGATATATGATGATACGCATAATTGTCACTACCTCTGAGGCAAGACCAATGAATTCGTTGTTGTTAGTCTTTTTTGTTAGAATTTGAAGGCTTTGTTTTAAAGTTTGACTTAATTTCTTATCTTGTGTAAAAATGCATTAGTGGAATTTGAGGTAGCCTGATGATTGATAATAAGAACGGAGATTTGAATGGTGCTATTGTGGAAGCTTAATTTGGGCTCCAATGGCACCTCATGTAATTAGATTCCGCTGGATAGTATATGAAGGCTCTCTCTCTTAACCGTGTCAAAAGAACTTTTCGTGAGATATTTACATCTTTGATTTTTTTTGGGTTGCGTATTCGTAATTAGGGTAAGTTTATGGCAGGATGAGCTAAAATTCCCTACCTTCTCTCAGCTGAGAACAAGTTTATGGAAGTTTAGGGTAAGTTTATGATAACGTCACGTTTAGAACCCAATATTTATGGCTTTTTAATTGGTGACTATACATTCCATATAATCATTTTTTGAATCTTTTTTGTTTTTTTGCAATTGAATATGCTATTTAGGGGTTATTTAACTTGAGTGTAGTTTTTGAGTTAAATTTAGAGTTATAACTTGAGTTGAAGTTGTAATTTCAATAAAATTGAGTAAAATTGAATAAAGTTAAAATTTTAAAGAACGTGAACTTAAATAAAGTTAGAACTCAAGTTGTTTTTTTTTTTGAGTGTTTTTAGACAAAAGAACATGCTCTTAGTATTTCGTTTTGGTTTTTGACGGTTCATTTAGTTATTATAGAGCTTTTTGGTGTGAGCAGCTGTATTTAATTTTTTTATTGTTTTAAATGAACGAGTGACTGTGATGAGTCTCTACAGACCTGTAATGATTTGCGGATATGATCGCAGATCTTATGAACATCTAAGGGACTGAGTTGCTTTCACTTTTTCAAAGTTTTTTTTTGTTTTTTTTTTTTTTGAGAATTTGTTTGGCTTCTTGTTTTCACTGATTTAATTTTTGATTTTGTCTTTTTTAGGCATGATTTTGTGTTTGTTGGTAATTGAAAAATATAAAATGTTTCCCTTATTTGTAGACAGCCATTTCTTGAAGTTGGATTCTTTGCTTGGTAAACTAAGAAGATATTGTTGTTTGGTTTAGGTAATGTTGCTTTTGAGCGTGAGTTTTGTGATTTTAGATGTATAATTGCTCGTTCTATGTTGGTGGTGGGTTTTTTTCCCCCAAATTATTTTGGTAATAATTTGTCTGGTTATGATTTGATGATGATTTTGTGTTTTTCAATTTGATTATTGTTGCTTTTAATTTGGTTATATTTGTGGAAAAATTAAAATAATGTGATTGATTATGCAGCATAGTTGATCAGGTTTTATGCAGCATAATCTATCAGTATGTTGTAATTTGACCGATCATGCTTCATAAATTGTCGAATTATGAATTTGACAAATTAAGGCGTCTGGAAACCGGCTGTCGGCCCATGTTCTTAGTTCAGCCCCTGTTCTGGATATGTTTCATTTAGTATTGGAAACAATGCCTTGCGTTTTTCTCGATGTTGTCCTTATAAATAAATTTCTATAGTAATTTATTTTGATAATAATTTTTGTTTTGTATTTTTTGAATTTCGCCGCTCACTTTGTAGTTTCTTTTGATAATGATCGCGAGTTAATTGTTAAAGAAATACGATTAAGTTTGAGTATTCTCAGCTGACGTACGATCTGGAGGGTGATGTGCTCTTTTTGTTCTCGTGGAAATGTGGTGTGTTGCACATTTATCTCTTGAACTTGTATAGTTTAAGCAACTTTCTTTTTGAACTTTTTAATTTTTGTAAAGTTGTAGTCATGATTTGTAAAATTATTGTAATATGTCTCACAAAATTGGAATTGTGCCAAACCCATACAAAACTGGAATTGTGCCAAACCCATACAAAACTGGATACAATTCAAAGCTGGGTAATTTAATTTATAATAATGGGTAGTAGGACATTTATAAATTTGTTGGTTGGTTAAAAAATCTTGGATAAAGAGATAAACAAAAGTCTTGTGTTTCTGAGATACTATTGAGAATCTATTACCGTAAAATGTAGACAAAAACGTGGTAATAATGATTTGTATTAAGCTTTTATTAAAGAATATTGCATAAGCATATAATTTTTAGAATATTTGATTCTTGATTTTTAATTCTGGTTTTCCAACGAACTCCTTGACTAGATCTCCATCGCGGTTGAGGTATTGTTTGACAAGAGATGAGACTTTTAATAGTTTCACATTGACAAGAGATGAGACTTTTAGGGTTTGTTTGGTTGGAGGATTCAAATCATGTGATTCGAATCATTTTTTATTTACGTGTATTTCTTATGAGAGAAAATACTGTAGCGAATCACGAATTATGATTCGAATCAGGGAATGAATCACTCTACTAAACGCCCCCTTAATAGTTTCACATTGAAAAGAGAGAGTCACATTGTAAGTTGTGGTGGCACGCATTCTTCAATGGATGGTGGTATGCAATAATGACAACCAACATTGTTGAGTAATTGAATAATGTGGATTAGAAAGTCAGGTTAATGCCTGTAGGTTATTTTGTCGAATGATTAAGGGAGTTCTTACAGTGATGGTTCGTTGAGAGATGCGAAGCCGCCCTTAAACTTGATTTCACCTTATCTCCGAAAGCAAATAAATGTGTTTGTGATGCATTTTTTGTGGGTTTACCATTAACGGTGAGTTAGTAGTTATGTATTGACTTGTCAAGTAAACATATACTATGATTTTCGTCTCATGTAAGAGTAACTGATCAATTTGAGTACTCTGTCACCAACTTATTTGCTACGATCTGGATTATGGATATAAGAGAGATGACATGTACCTGCAGGTAATTTCAGGTGGACCAACTGCCTTGTCCCCATGTTATGGCTGTGTGTAACAGATGACAAATGAGTCTAGCCAATTATTGCTCCAAGTACTACACGAAAGATGAACTTTTTGCAACCTATCGAGGAGTTGTTAGTCCTATTGGAAGCTCAGAATGATGGCATGTTGATGAAAAAATGAGGAACCAAGTTATGAACCCTCCTAAAATAAAGCGTCGGCCTGGAAAACCTCATGTTACTAGGATTTTATGCCAAGGTGAAGAACCTGATACAATCAAGTGCAGTAGATGTCATTCTTATGGACACAAACGTAAAACCTGCACGAATCTAGTGCCACTCCACCCAGGCTCATCAACAAGCTTAACATGAATCTAGTGACTCTTTTATGTGTGTTTCGTTTAATTAAAGTTATATGTTGTATCTTGTAATAATATATTAATTTGATTTATTTCTACATTACAAAGAGTCTTTTGTTTTCCCATCAACACCGGCCAAGTGCATGATAACGTTGTAGACAACTTGGTCAGCCCACCCAAGCTTCTGGAGCTTCAAAAAGTTCACTACGACAAGTTGAAGCTCCAACTTCTCAAATTGAGTCAATGTAAGACCCTGCCGTAGTATTCTGATGGTTTCTTTATAGTTAACAGTACGATTTATTTTACCGTTCTTGATGTCATCGTCTAGAACCATTCTCATGAATTGTAATAATACACAATATCAATGTTGTTAGTAATTGTATAAAGGCAAATAAAAAAACATAGACAAAAAAACATAACACACCTTATGGGCGGTCATATTAATATGACATGCCGGTCATAATTTTATGATCGACTACAATGTTATTAGTAATTGTATAAAATGAGTTCCATCACTATGACTGTCTTATGGACCGACGGAAAATATGTAAAATTATAGCATATGTATATATATATATATATATATATATATATATGAAAGATTATCGCTGGGTACGGTTTAAAAAAAGAAGAAGAAAAGGGTAGGTCAAAAAGATTATTACCGTGAGATGTATATGTATTAAACATGCAGGGGTACACTTGGCTTTACTACATGAGGCGGGGACTCACATTGGTGACTCACGTGGGTAACTCACCTTGAAAATCACATAGGCTTGGTAACTCACGCAACTAATGCAAAACTTACTAAGGCATATATGGCCATTTGTACGTGGAAAAGAACCAGAGAGCATCCAAGAAGAATAGAGAGGAAAAAAAAATTTCCAGCGTAAGAAACAGTGAGTTAGACCAAAAATCGACAGAGTAATCGAGGCATCGCGCCACCAGAGATTGACCTTTGTTTCCTAAGGTGAGATTTCAAGATTTTCTCTTGTTTTCCTTTCTCTTTGCTGCCGTGGATGTGTAGAGAAGAGTAGGGAAAAATTTTCTATAGGTAAGGATTTTGCTTGAAATGGTTTGAGAACATGGAATCTAAGAATCTAAGGTTAGATTTTTGGTTATTTAGCCTTGGTTTTTAGCAATTTTGATATAGAGAATTTTGTTGGAAAAGTTGAGAAAACCTCTAAAACCATGATTAAGATTTATGGTGTTTTTGAAAGAGAAAGGATATGGTTGGTGTTTGATGGTGGAAACAACGGATAAAACGAGCTGAGGTTGGCTCGGGAAACATGCAGAAATAGGCGAAACTCTGCTGAAATTTAGTTTGAGTAATTTGAACTAAAACTGGATTTCAAGAGAAATATGGGATTAAAGTGTGAAAAGAAAGGTGTTTCGATAATCAGTGATGGTTAGAAACCGAACACAACGAGAATTCACAGTTTTGGACCGAAACTGAAAATTAGGCCCATGACTGAGTAATTTGCACGGTTGTAGTGTAAAATTCTTGAGATCGGAAATAGTTTGGGATAGAATACCAAGCATAAGAATTGTAGACCTTTCCGAATTAAATTTCCAAGTAGTTACTAATCTTATATTTTGAATCTAACGATCGGAAAAATTTATGCAATAAGATCGATTGACGGTTGAAGTCGGAAAGCGTCAAGTGAGACAAAAGACGCGTTGTTAGCGGAACTTTGGTAAGTACAATAGTTTTTCTGTGGCTATATCACGAACAAGCTTACTTTTCTATGTTGCACAAAGATTGTGCATATAGTAGAATTTTGAATGTTAGATACAATGTGAATGTTAGATACTATGTTAGGTAAGTATCTACAAGACTTATGTAATCGTAGAACTTTATTCTGCAAAAAGTATGTATCGATGTTAAGTCGAGATCAAACGAAGAGAAATGAAAGGTTAAACTTTAACGAAAAGTTAATCTCATGAGAAAATGCTCAATAATGCACAAATTCATAAGATTTAACTAAAGTTACCGTTTCAATGAGAAAATTGATAAGCGGTAAGAGACTAAACGTCCTGTTTGTACCAGCCTTCGAAGGAAAGGTTATTATAAGACTATGAAAGATATGAAACCGTGACTGAGTTGGATTGGTTAGCTACCCCACTCTTCAATGGTTATGCGCGCTATGGTACAACAGGACATGACCCATAAGAAGTAAAAGACAAGAAAATAAAAAATAGAAACCATTCCATATAAAGGTACAGTATCTGTAAAGAAGAATGAAAAGAATGAGAAATACGAAATGAAAGTCGTTTAGAACGTGAAAATACGATGTAAACGACTAAAATGAGATGAAAACAGAACAAAGAATGTAATGAAAGAAGAAGAACATAAGCCATACATGTTTTAGTAGTACAGAATGTATTATAATATATGACATGAATGCATATATGGGTATGCATAATTATTGCATCTGTTATGACCTATTGATACTTGCTGAGCGAAAGCTCATTAAGTTTGTTCGTGTTGTAGGAAGCTCGAGTAAGGCACCGGCTCCCTGAAACTTGTTGTTGGGCATGCAGAGAGGATGCAACAGTGGAGTGTGGACAAGTGGGTTGTGGATGTATCACGTGTTTTGGAAACACTGCTAAACATTATGTGTAAAATAAAATAGTGTTTTATGTATTTTGATGACTAATGTAACAGAATGCCGTCAGAGTGCTACAGCATTTTACGAATAGTTGAAAACAGAAGGCTAGCTAAATGCTACAACATTTAGACGTACATGGTAAGAATGAAAAAAATTGGCTTGAATTTTTTAAGAGGTTATAACTAGTAAGTAGTAGAGGTTAAGTATGAACTTAGGATGATGATCAAAAGTTATAGTCGCCACAGTACTATAACTGGAGGTCACAATTTCATGACCATCATGCAGGCTCGCTCATAGTGTTATGGCTTATGGCTGGTCATAGCATTATGATCGGTCGGTAATTGTATTATGATCGATCATAAGGTAGTCAGAGAGTGCGGTCACAGTACTATAACTGACGGTTATAATGCTATGATCGCAATCTCATCAGTAAGGCAGTCACACTATAAGCCTGCCTGCCTGATGGGCGGTCATATCATTATGACCATCGGTCATTGTATTATGACTGCACGTTATGACTGGTTATGATACACTTACCAACTAGTGATAATGTTATGACCGGCTATCAGACAGAGTCACAGACCAAATAAGGAGCATAATGACAATCCAATGACAATAAAAAATTTTAAATAACTGACATTATATGCTTTTATCTCCTCCTCTAAAGTTGTTCTTTTCTTCTAAAATGACAAAAAAATGATAAAAGAAAAAAAAACAATAAATACCTAAGAAAAAACAAATAAACAAGAAAAGCCAACAAAGTTTTTAACTTTGTCTCAGAATCCGCCATTGACCTCGTTTGTTTCGTGGTTGATTTCTCCAACGAAGAATGTTAGGAGGGTGAGGTTTTCTCAGTTCGTGCTTATAGGTTAGGCGTTGATTTCTTCGGCGAAGGTTCGTGGGTTCTCGTTGTGCGCTGCTGGGTTCGTGCGTTCTGGCTGGCTATCGTAGGTTCTCATTGTGGTTGATTCGTTGCTGCTCAAGGTGGTGGTAGTTGGGGTTTCTTGGTTTCTGTGCACACCCGCGTTCTTTCTCCTCTCTCTACTTTGAATATTTAAATTTTATAAGGCTTCAAAAATGAAATGAGGCACAATTGTCATTTTAACTCAAGTAAAAGCGGCATGGTCTCACTTTTACTGGCATGACAATGTTAATTGTGTAATTAGATAAAAATGATGTTAAAAATAATAATAATTTATTCATAAGTGTTATTGTTGAAATTTTTTCCCCAAAAAAATACACCAACAAATTTGTAAGTGCGGGGGTTGAATTATAACAAATTTTTTTTTAAAATATGTTAGGAATAACGAAAGTTACATAGTAAATATTTTAATGATATTCATGTTTTTACTACAAAATAACGTGATAATTATTTTAATAATATTATTTATTGTTATTATTTTTCTTGTAATATTAATTTTTGTTGTTGTTAATATGTAATGTTTTTTTGGCTATATTTCGTCATAACAGGTCAAATTTTGTTGTATGTGTAAAGATTCTTAAAAATGTGTGCTAAATTGAGGGGTTCCTCTCTCTCTGCCCCCTATAGGGTTTTTGTATTAAAACAGTCCAAATTTAGTCAAGCAACTTCAGCTTTCTATGTTTTTTTGTTCTTCCTCTTTGTTGGATTTGCGTTTACAACATAATTCAAGTATATCCAAAACCATAGTAAAAACAGAAAGAAAATGCAACGAAACCCAAACCAAAACGATTTGATTCACCAATTCAAACATGGGTATTGGAAGAACTTGGTTTCTGATTGTGGGTTTCGCATATCTGTAGCTGGGATTCTCGGAATTGCCGGTTTTGTTTTGGCTTTAATAAAAGACGGTAAATTGGGCAAATTAAGCGGCTTTAATTGGTTGAGTAAGATTCAAGATTCTCCTCGGAGTTTGCGCTTGGTGCCCGGGTTGCAAAATCTCGGCAACAATTGTTTTCTCAACGTGATTTTACAGGTATTAATGTGTATATGATCATGTTTCAGTGCCCGTGGAATTGTTAACTTTTGTTTGGATGCCAAGATAATAGAGGAAACCAGAAAGAAAATCGAGATTTTATTTATTTGATAGTGTTCTAACAATAGCTATGATTGTTGTTCTAACAAATGTAATTATAGTTCATAGCAAAAAAAAATGTGATTATAGTTAACTTATTTTGGCATTTGGGCAACAATACACACACACACACACACACACACACACACACACACTATATTTATATATATATGTGTGTGTGTGTGTGTGTGTGTGATTTTATGTGTGTGTATGATTGACTGCCAAGAAAACAGAGGAAATGAAATAGAAAAGAGAGCGAGAATTTGTTTATTTTGTTCCATACATGGAAATGTAATTATTGATTGGGTGCCAACAAAACAGAGGAAACCAGAAAGAAAAGCAATACTTTAGTTATTACTTTGATTTTTTTTTCGAAATGAAATAGAAAAGAGAGCGAGAATTTGTTTATTTTGTTCCATACATGGAAATGTAATTATTGATTGGGTGCCAACAAAACAGAGGAAACCAGAAAGAAAAGCAATACTTTAGTTATTACTTTGATTTTTTTTTCTTTTGCGATTATTGTTTACTTATTTTTGCAATTTGGGCAACTGAATTCAGTTATGTAGTTTTTTCTGATTAATTGAATCTGAAAAATTTATCAGGCTTTAGCAAGTTGTTCGTGCTTCCAAATTTTTTTGCAAAAGGCTATAGAGGAATGTGAAAGGTCGGCTGATGAGGATTTAGTTGATAGTATGCCACTTGCAGTTGCTTTAGCTTCGTTATTCGAAGGTAGCTCACAAACTATCTCTAACGTTTTTTTTTTTTCTTTAAGAGTGGAGGTCTTCTCAAGATGTTGCGCAGCAGAATCTTCACCCTTTGTTCACTTTCTAGAAACATAAAATAAAGAAAGTGTTCTTTTGGATTTTCTGTTATACCATGCAGTCTTAATAGTCAGACTAATAATTCATGAAAGTTTTGGTCTCATTTGATACAATGCAAATATAAATGATATTATTTCTTGATTTTCTCTACATTTAACTCATTGTCACTTAGTTAAGTAATGTTCTGTCTCTATAGAATTATGTGTAGTTGGTGAAGGAAGAGTAGCGTTGAGTCCTCGGACAGTAATGCTTGCAATCGCTCATTACATTCCCAGTTTCAATCTCACTGCCCAGCAGGTCCAACTTTTAATTTTAAATTTTACAACAAGTTCTATGGGTATTTTGATATCGTTTGATATATAATTTTGTCTGTAGGATGCAGCCGAGGCTTTTCTTCATATCCTGTCCTCTTTAAGAGAAGAATTTACGGGGTGTTATGATCCAAGAAACCCTTCTTTGTTGGAATTATGTTCTTCGAGTTGCAGGATTATTACACCAAAGAGGGGGGAGGTCTTGAGCAAGCAAGAAATGTGGCAGCGAGCTTTTGTTGGACCATTTGATGGGGTTCTTGGTAGCATCTTAACTTGTCAAAGTTGTTCATCTCAGGTTCATAATGTTTCATATCAGTAATTATTATTACTCTGACCTTCCTATAAGAGTTATATTTCTGTCTGTTGTTGCATGCATAAAAATATCTTAGTTTACAATTTATTTGTACTGAAAAACGTTGGTTAGACAAATTGGTCTTGCATAATTTTTTTTGGATAAATTTTATTTTTACCCCTCGAACTTTGATCGCGTTTTAACTTTGCCCCCCCGAACTTTAAAAAGTGGTCTACATGCCCCTTGAACTTTAAAACGTTAGTAAAAATGCCACTTGTGTCAAAATTCCGTCCATTTAGGTTGATGTGGCACTAATTTAAAGAATGAAAAATTAATTTAAGCTATAAATCTTAATTTTTAAAGAATTAAATAATCAAAATCCAAATTATACCTCCATAAAAAAAACCCCAAGTTATACCTAATACTAGCCCTAAAAAAAAGAATTAACACACTCTCCTCAAATTCCTTCTCTCGCACAAAGAGAGAACCCATGAATAGCTCTTCTCTGCAAAAGGAAGGTCTTGATGAATCTTTTTTAGATACTCCATGGCCTGGGTTGGAAAACGCAAGAAGATGGGTTTGATCCCTTTGTGACGAGGGAGTGAGGAAGGAGCTGGCCAAGGTGGCGGTGAGGGAGGCGTGAAGAAAAAATAATTTAATACCTTAAACAATGCCTACGAGTTGATGCCAGATTAGAATTATCTTTACAAAAATGCAGGGACTTATTTATTGTGACCAAGACCATCTTGGTTGTGAACTCTCTTATGGAAAGAATGAATTTTCAGCCAAGGTTTAAGGAAAGAATGGTGATTCTACTGCGTAATGAGCTCTATTGGATTCTTGTGGGCAGTAGCTTGTTTTTTTTTTTTTTTTCATCTCTTTTAGTTTTGCCTTTTCATTTATGTTTTTAGGAAAATATCTTTTTACTTAGTGTTAAACATAATTTGATTTTTCTATTATTAGTGCCTCTAATAATTAAGATTTTAGTAAAAGATTAATTTTTTATTCTTTAAATTAGTGCCACATCAGCCTAAATGGATGGAATTTTGATAGAAGGGGCATTTTTGCTAACGTTTTAAAGTTCGGGGGGTACGTAGACCACTTTTCAAAGTTCAAGGGGAAAGTTAAAACGCGATCAAAGTTCAGGGGGTAAAAATAAAATTTATCCTTTTCTTTAAGTAGTAAACAGAAACCTTTATTGATGAAGATTAATCAATACTAGGTGACGAGGATGAGGAATCCTCAAAAGCGGAAAGTAAAAGATAATCTCGACTAGTAAGAAACAAAACCACAAAATCTCAATGACTCAATGCATCCCTCCAACTTAACAGAATTAAAGACAAAGGAAAATGCTTAAACTCTTTATCTGTAGAAGCCCAAAGCGAAGCCAGGAATTGAGCCTTATCAAACAGATCTGACTCTTCGGAATCATTATCCTAAAAAATTCGTCGATTTCTTTCCAGCTACGTCACCCATAGGATTGCCAACACCATTGTTTTCCCCATAATCCTCCCCTTCTTGCCATTTCCAAACACTCTTAGATCCTCTTCCAGTAGTGAAGTACAGCTTTTAGGGCTGATCCAAAGAAAGTCAGCTACTTTAAAGAGACGCATCCAGAAACCCCGCACAACCTGACAATGCAGAAACAAATGATCGATGTCTTCCCCATTCTCCTTGCATAAAACACACCAACTTGGCGAAAGAAGCATATGAGGATATTTCTGTTGGACCAAATCACTTGTATTTAATTTCTTCCGATAACACAACCAGGCAAAAACCTTAACTTTTAAAGGAACGCAAGTTTTCCAAATGGAATTGTTAGCATGAAAAGGAATGAGATTTGAATTAGGGACATCAATCAAGGAATGAAAAAAATAAGCACAAGTGAACCCCTTTGCATTGGGTATCGAAATCCTCTTATCTTTCACTTGAGGCCTTGGAGAAAAATTCTCCAAGACACTGGACAGATCCACAAACTCCTCCAACTCCCTTTCCCTAAGATTTTTTCTAAAATTAAAATTCCAACTCCACTCTAAGGGCTCAGAAGAAATAAAAACTTCATTGATTTTGGAATTTCCAGAATTAGAGAGGCTAAACAATCTAGGAAATCTACTAGCCAAAGGCTGATCACCTATCCAACTATCCTTCCAAAAACGAATTTTAGAACCCTCCCCCACTTCCTACTTAACCTTTTCCAAGAAAACAGGGAGACCTTGAGAGATGAATTTCCAAGGACTTCGATGATTTCCATGTGTAACCGGATTTGAATCTCAGTGATTCAGATGGAGCCCATATTTGCTTCTAATGACCGTGGCCCAAAGAGAATCCTGCTCTAGTGGAAATCTTCACTACCATTTCCCCAAAAGAGCTTGATTTTTGTGCACTAGATTTCCAATTCCTAATCCTCCATTTTTCTTGCTTAAACATACCGATTTCTAAGCTACCAAACAGTCCACTTTTGAGTCCTTTTCACCATCCCAAAGAAAATTCCTCATCCTTTTTTCTAACAAATTTCTAGTGGAGGCCGGGAGCTTAAAAATGGAGAGGTAATAAATAGGAATATTTGCCAAAATGGATTGGATCAATGCCAGCCGCCCCCCTCTTGACAAAAAGCCTTTCTTCCAATCATCCAATCTTGTCTAAACCGGCATCCAGAATTCCTTAGATAACGGGTTCCCACCCAATGATAGACCCAAATATTTCAACGGCCACTCACCGCTATATCTCGTACAACCACAATACTCCTATTCATGTTGATTTTGTGGCCCTAATACTCGTATTCATGTTGATGCCAGCCACAATACTCCTATTCATGTTGATTTTGAGGCCCGAACAGTGACAAAATCTTGAGAATTGCAGCAACATTTCTGAAGTTCTCACAATGAGGGTCTAAAAATAGCAACGTGTCATCCACAAATTGCAAATGGGTTACCGTCGTTCTTTCATCTCCCACCATGAAACCTTTAAACTAAACCCAAACGCGAAGCTTTTTCAAGAAGACCGCTAAGGGCATCAGCAACTATGGTAAACAAAAAAGGGGATAGCGGATCCCCGTGTCTAATACCTCTGGTTGCATGAAACCTCCCTCTTGGTTTGCCATTAATCAGAATTGAGAAGTTTGCAGATCTTAGACATCCATTCACGCACAACCTCCATTTATCTCCAAAACACTTCATTCTCAACACAAAGTCCAAAAACGTCCAATTCACGTGATCGTAGGCCTTCTCAAAGTCTAATTTAAACACCATTCCTTCCTTTCGCTTAGATCTATAGTCCTCCACTAGCTCATTTGCTACTAAAACCCCATCTAATATTTGTCTTCCTCTAATGAACGCACTTTGAGTCTTTGAAATAGTTGTCCCCAAAACTTCTTTAAGTCTATTTGCGAAAACTTTCGTGAGAAATTTGTACAAGCTTGTCACTAGACTGATTGGCTTGAAATCTGTCACCTTACGAGAATTGATTTTCTTCGGAATGAGGCATAAGAATGTGTGGTTCGTATAGTAATTGACCACCCCCGAATGATGAAATTCCTCAATACCTTCATTATGTCCACCTTGATCCACACCCCTGAATGTGTGGTCTTGCATAATTAAATCTAATATACTTGTTTTTGCCGATTTCATACATCTGATTGTCAGCAAGTTCTTTGCAGATATGTAATTTGTTTGAGTGGTCTACTTGGAGAACCTTTTCGACAAATTAAATTACTGCTGTGCAGTAGTTTCACATGTAACTCATAACGGCCAGCCTTTATTAGTTTGTATCCTTTTGCAGATTTCACTGAATTTTGAAGCATTTCACAGCCTGCCACTTTCTCCGGTGCTTGATACTGGTGCCACCATAGTATGTTACTGAAGGTTCCACTCTGATAGTGCGTATATTTAAGCCTGTTGCTTGATTTTTATTTTTGTCTTAACTGCTTTCTACAGAACTGTTTTTAATTTTTGTGTTTTTTCCTTCTTTTACATTCAATGTCATTAGATGGTTCGATGTAGCTTGGAAAATTGCCTAAAGCAGTTCACTGTTGCCGAACAAGTGGAGAATTACCACTGCAGCAATTGTTGGCATATTGCTGGAATCAAGTACTTGTCCTCTATACGAGGAAATGAGGTAAATATTCATGCATGAGCATTATTATTCATTTTCCACTCCAAATCGTCAAAAGGAATATGGTCAGTTTTCCTCATTGCATGATACATATACTTGGCTAATACTATCAAACGAACGAGAAATACTTCTTCTTCTTCTTCTTTTTTGTGTGTGTGTGTGTGTGTGTGTGTGTCTATCAAACGAACGAGAAATACTTCTTCTTCTTCTTCTTCTTTTTTGTGTGTGTGTGTGTGTGTGTGTGTGTTTGAGATGCTTTTGTGGTCGCCTAGATTTCGCTCTCAAAGTTTCTTGTACATTTTTACTTAAGCAATTTATTTCTATCATCATCATTCTATACTTTGTGCTCTTACCTTTGTTCTTCAGGCAGACATTGAGAAACTTAGGATATGCACAGAGCAAGATTCTTGTGACTGCCGAAGAATTTTTTGTTTCCCTTGGTCAAACAAGTTTTCATATACACTGAAGCAGATAAGCATTGCTCGTTCTCCGAAGGTATGTGTTCTGATGCTTTCATGTAAAACCTCATTTAGGAGATTCCAGGCATCACATAACCTAGACCTTAAGGTGTAGGCCTTTGAAGCTAATAATTAAATACGCCAGGCTTTTATTGATTAAGTAGGTGAAGTTTTGTCCCATACCAGATAGAAGTGTCCTCAAGTTTTCGTGATTTTAGGATCATAAGATATGGAAATCTGATGGCACTATATGAACAATAAAAGCAAGCAAATTCTGTTAGAATAGATATTGATGCACTGTAATAGAAAGCATAGGCTAAAGTCCCAAGTTATATAATTTTTTTTTTCCCTCGAGTAAAATAAACTTGTTCTGCAACTTGATTTAATTTGGTGGCTAGGAAAATCTGTAAACTGGAGCTGAAACAAGTGCTATTAGCGGAAGGAACTAGCAAGAAATGGTCAATTTTATTATTCTTTTGGTTATCTTTATATGATTTCCATCCTATAACAAACGCTTTCAACTTTGCAACTAGCTTATTGAAAACCAAGGTTAGTCCAATATATTACTTTAAAAGTCCAATATATTACTTTAACATGCACAATAACTTTGCTCTGTGCTTGCAGATTCTGTGCATTCATCTAAAGCGGGTTTCTGTTAATATTTTTGGCGAACTAGTCAAACTTCAGGTATATACAATTTTGCTTATCCTTGTGTGGTTTTCTAGTCTAGCATTTACTTTTCTAGTTAGACTCATGAATACTTATACCACCGAAACAAATCAAGAATTATTGCATGTTAGTTTACCAATCCATCCCAAAAGCTTAAGCTTTTAGGAGGTGGGCCAACAATAGTTTTATACTTTAACATTGCATTTTCAATACTTTTGCTCATCATGTTGAGAAGTTTCTGCACCTTTTTATATATTGAAACAAGGATTTGAAATGTAATGTTCAAAATATGTGTCCAGTTTTAATTTTTCTATGTTGCTTCTTTGTTGGATTAGCTTGCATATGTTGTCCCCTCATTCTCACTTGTTTCTAAAAGTAATTCCATGAGCTTGATGACAGAAACTAGAAAGTTATAACTACCTCATAATATGGTCATTAATTTGATGTAATTTGTAACTTTGTTGTGATAACGGGGTATACATTACTAATTGCAGGGCCATGTTTCGTTTCCTTTAATTTTGGACCTTTCCTCATTCATGACAAGCGGGGTGGCCTTTATGACCCGGGAAGAAATTTTTCAGAGAGGGCAAGTGCACCCACATTATGGAAAACCAAGTTTTCATACCGAAATTTCTAACATACAATACGATACAACAAGAAATCTGACTTATATGTATCCTGCAACAAGAGGAGGTTTCTACTCTAGCAAGGGACAAGATTTACCGTGGCAATCCGATTTTATCGAAGCTGGGGCCTGTTCAAAAGCCCTGCATACAGACATAGAGATGCAACCAGATGAGCAGGTTAGCTGAAATCTGCTGATACTGTCATATTGATATAGCTGTCTTGTAATTTGGGACAAATCATTGAGCAGACGGATTTCCGCATGTGTTTAAGCCTTTGAAGATTATTGGTTTTCTACCTAATGCGTGGAACAATACTATAGGACACCGGCGGTATCCAACGTCACACACTAATAGGTCCCACAACAGGGACCCCACAGATGGCACCCTACTTCTATTAATTGTGGTGGTGGACACCATTGGTGCCTCCAAGCATCTTTCTAACATGCAAGTCTTGTCTTGCAGGTTAGTAAGAGTTCCCAAGTGGTCCCTCCAAGTCCTTGTTTATATCGTCTAGTTTCAGTTGTGGAGCAAAGTCCAATATATTACTTTAATATGCACAATAACTTTGCTCTGTGCTTGCAGATTCTGTGCATTCATCTAAAGCGGGTTTCTGTTAATATTTTTGGCGAACTAGTCAAACTTCAGGTATATACAATTTTGCTTATCCTTGTGTGGTTTTCTAGGTCCAATATATTACTTTAACATGCACAATAACTTTGCTCTGTGCTTGCAGATTCTGTGCATTCATCTAAAGCGGGTTTCTGTTAATATTTTTGGCGAACTAGTCAAACTTCAGGTATATACAATTTTGCTTATCCTTGTGTGGTTTTCTAGTCTAGCATTTACTTTTCTAGTTAGACTCATGAATACTTATACCACCGAAACAAATCAAGAATATTGCATGTTAGTTTACCAATCCATCCCAAAAGCTTAAGCTTTTAGGAGGTGGGCCAACAATAGTTTTATACTTTAACATTGCATTTTCAATACTTTTGCTCATCATGTTGAGAAGTTTCTGCACCTTTTTATATATTGAAACAAGGATTTGAAATGTAATGTTCAAAATATGTGTCCAGTTTTAATTTTTCTATGTTGCTTCTTTGTTGGATTAGCTTGCATATGTTGTCCCCTCATTCTCACTTGTTTCTAAAAGTAATTCCATGAGCTTGATGACAGAAACTAGAAAGTTATAACTACCTCATAATATGGTCATTAATTTGATGTAATTTGTGACTTTGTTGTGATAACGGGGTATACATTACTAATTACAGGGCCATGTTTCGTTTCCTTTAATTTTGGACCTTTCCTCATTCATGACAAGCGGGGTGGCCTTTAAGACCCGGGAAGAAATTTTTCAGAGAGGGCAAGTGCACCCACATTATGGAAAACCAAGTTTTCATACTGAAATTTCTAACATACAATACGATACAACAAGAAATCTGACTTATATGTAAACTTTGTTGTGATAACGGGGTATACATTACTAATTGCAGGGCCATGTTTCGTTTCCTTTAATTTTGGACCTTTCCTCATTCATGACAAGCGGGGTGGCCTTTATGACCCGGGAAGAAATTTTTCAGAGAGGGCAAGTGCACCCACATTATGGAAAACCAAGTTTTCATACCGAAATTTCTAACATACAATACGATACAACAAGAAATCTGACTTATATGTATCCTGCAACAAGAGGAGGTTTCTACTCTAGCAAGGGACAAGATTTACCGTGGCAATCCGATTTTATCGAAGCTGGGGCCTGTTCAAAAGCCCTGCATACAGACATAGAGATGCAACCAGATGAGCAGGTTAGCTGAAATCTGCTGATACTGTCATATTGATATAGCTGTCTTGTAATTTGGGACAAATCATTGAGCAGACGGATTTCCGCATGTGTTTAAGCCTTTGAAGATTATTGGTTTTCTACCTAATGCGTGGAACAATACTATAGGACACCGGCGGTATCCAACGTCACACACTAATAGGTCCCACAACAGGGACCCCACAGATGGCACCCTACTTCTATTAATTGTGGTGGTGGACACCATTGGTGCCTCCAAGCATTTTTCTAACATGCATGTCTTGTCTTGCAGGTTAGTAAGAGTTCCCAGGTGGTCCCTCCAAGTCCTTGTTTATATCGTCTAGTTTCAGTTGTGGAGCACTATGGAAGGGCTGGCAGCGGGGCATTACACTGTCTATAGCAGCGCAAAAGACGGTTCAGATTCGTTTAAAGATGAAATTGATACCCCATCGGAGCCCGACCCTGAATGCTGGTTCTGCATTTCAGATTCTGAAGTACATCGCGTTTCCGAGAAAGATGTCCTTGCTGCTGAAGCTAGCTTGCTTTTCTACGAGAAGATAGTACAAGAATGAATAGTGTACCTTCTCTGCCTGTTTTTGTTTGTTGTAACTTTTGATTACTCAGAAAAAGGCAAATGCTGATTGATTTTCAACTCGGAGATTCCCAAAAGGGGGAAAAAAAAGAAACAGAAAAGGAAAATAATGAATGCACAGGCAATAACTTTTCGTGGACAGTTGCATTATTTTTAACATTTTCTTGGAATAAAAAATTATAAATATACCTCATTGTCTGCTTGTATTTGCAATTTTTTGCAAATTACTTCAATGCAGAGTATTTTCTGGAGTATAAAATCTTGGTTGAAACAAACTCCAGGATTTTTTTATTTTATTTTTTGGTGCTAAGAAATGTTTTGGGGGAATTGAATCTGTCATGACATGGTTGCCAACTTTGCTACAGACAGCATGGAAAGGTCACACAGACATAAGGGACTCAACAAGACAAAGGTTGCTGTCATGTCACTGTACTGAGAAAATTACAAATATTTCCGTTGCCAAAAAGGGTAAAAATGAAAAATGGAAAATTCAAAATAATTTTATTTCAGAAAGATACTCTAAATCTCTATTATAGTTTAATTGTATTTTTACTTGCACAAAATAAAACTGGTTCATCACGTTGTGATTTTAATTGTTGAGTTTGAGAAATAATAAATTACTGGCACGTAGAAATTTCCATGGAAAACGACCTGTTTTTTAAACACCATCATGTCTTTGGATACCAATTACATCATAAGATTAATGGCCCTCCAATTCTGCAGTCCTGCAGACAGCTCTTGTTTGCATGTTAGATGTTTTATTTAAAACCAAATCATTAATTGTGTCTTTTTTTTTCTTTTTATGTATTTGTATATATTTAACATCCACCAATTTCTTTTCACATCTCCAAATGATTTTTGCATAATTCTTTTCTCATGGCTAAATCTCAATAACCCTCTTATTATTCACTTTCGCCTACACTAAACATAATATGAACATTCCACTATATCCAACAACTTCTAACTTCTTATTCCACCAATTTCTCTCCTTTCTTTGCCTAACATCCTTTGAAATGCACCAAAGAAGATGATAAATTTATGCGTCAAAACAATTATGTATCTCCAGTGGTGAAAAGAGTCTCTAATGATGGACTATATCTCTGTGCATTGGACTATATTATATTCTAGTATCAAAAATAGAAGAATTCTGTGTGATTACAAAGATTTCCCAGTCATATTTTCTTTTCTACATATGAACATAATAGCATATCGTTAATATTTTTGTTTTAATGGATTGGAATTATTAGCCTGATGATTTCCGTGCATACTGTAAAGTTGTTCTTATAAACTATATATTAGTTAATCACATATAGTCAAAGTGATGTAGGACCAATATTGATTAAAGAAAGAGAGAAAGAGATCAAGAGAATGAGAACAATTGAGAGAAAGAGATCAAGAGAATGAGAACAATTGAGAGAAAAAGTAGAGGAATTTAGATTTTTTTTTAAAAAGTGTAATAGAGAAAAAATATTTTTACTCAATAATAATCATTAAAGCTTAAGTGAGAGGGCAAATACTAGCTCTATTTATAGTTGTATAAAACTTAAGAAGGATCAAACTCAAATTCGAATAAAATCCTAAATAATCCGAATAGATAAACGCAAAATAAAATAGCTTTAAAATAACTCTAATTCTTATATTATTCCTAATATTTATATCTTTGTTGCCCCAGTCTCCACTAATTTTAGAATTAGACTCCTGCTAGTTAAATTCTTCATTCTCAACACTGATTCTTTAAGAAGTCGTAGGAGCTTAATACTTGACTGTAAAAATGTTCTCGTTGTAGAGAAACAAAAAAAATATAAATAAAAATAAAAAAAACACTCGAAGTTTTTGATCACCATGGTAACAGTTCCAGCTTATTGAGAACCAATCCCATGCATAGTCACATTAAAATAAAGTTTTAGTAAATGTGTATTAGATCCAAAAGAAGCAATAGAAAAGCTTAATTAGGGATTTCATCAATCAACTTTATCATCGAATTTTCAACACAAGATTCAAAGAAATTGGATTTAATGGCTAAAGGAATAGCTTTAGCAGTAATTTCAAGTGATTTGAAAGCATGAAAACATGGTAAGAATGGAATACTTGATTGGAAATTAAGGAGATGGTTAATAAAAAATAACCTTAGGAAAGGAATAAGAATGAACAACCTAGTCATTTAAAAATAACTTTTTCTCTAACTTTTAACATTCTTAATAGATATAATATATCTTTTTATCATATTTTGATTTTACATCACTCCATATGCTTATTTTTCTAGGGATAACCTATGATAAGACTTTGGTGCAAAAGAAAAGCATGACATGTATTAATGGTGAACTTTTAGTTAGGTTCTAATGGCAGCTATATATTGAAGAATGATGATCAGAATTTCTTTTCTTCCTTTTTTTTTTCACCTAATATCATAGATAAGACTAGCAAATGAAATTTAATGTTCTTTTGAATGAAACGCTGATGCAAAATAATATAAACTTAACCCTAGTTTAAGAATGATTTATCCATTGTAAATTATATATGTTCTTTCTGCTGTATCATATTATATATATGTGTATATACATATGTATATATATTGTCGTTTTCTTTTCCATCTTGTTATGTCATTCAAATGACAGATGATTAAACACATTCCCATGGTGAAGCAATTCAAAATCATTGGAGATTAGATCGACAAAAAAGCAAAAGTAAAAAAAATAAAAAAAAAATAAAACAAGAAGAGGAGTATTTATATGTGTGTGTGTGTGTCTGTGTATATATACATGAGGGTCGAATGTCGTTATAAGCAACTAGCTGTCATATATGTGCACAAACCCTAATTTACTGCAAAACCCTACATATGGGATATTTATTGTATCAGTCTGTTCCTTTAGCTTATCCCCCTTTCTTTTTTAGATTTTGATTTCTTAACGTGGACCACAACACAACTTTTTAGGTGTGTTATATATATATATATATATATATATATATATATATATGTATGTATATATATATCCAAGTATATCAAGTCAGTCACAGGACATTCTTGTCGGAGATAATAGTTTTGCAACATGGAAATTCAAGGTGTTTGTATTATTGATATGATCACTTCTAACTCATCTCATCAGCATCAGCTGCTCTCTTACATTTTCACTATGCATGTTTCTCTCAAATTCTCTAATATCCTAGTATAATTATATGCCTAGTTATACAATATTTCACTCAAAATTAACTATCTATCTATCTAGAAGAAGTGATAATCATATACTAATTAAGTATATTATACTTTTTTTTTTCTCCTTTCCATTTTTTTTAATCAAAACCAACATTTTCTTATAGTACTTAATTCAGTTATGGATTGGAGGTTTCTTTCTTGCTGGAGTATAGTCCATGGTGAGTAATTCATTGGCAATTTCTGTCACCTCTTGTTGATCTTGATCATGAACATCTTGTACTGCTTTTGCCACTTTCTGTTGATCTTGATCATGGCTCTGATTCTTGTCATTAACTTCCTTATTAAGTACCGCTTTCAAACTCCGACCTGCATCGAACATAAAACCGAAAATCTCAGATTCAAACTCAAAAAGGAAAAAAGAAAAAAAAAATTGGGCTATATTCTCAAAGTTGATATTGTATATATTATTATAAAAAGAAAGAAGTTTTAGTTACCTCTAGCTGTGGCTGAGAAGAAGCAAATCAGAATGAAAGTAACAAGAACAAGGCGCTTGGAGAGAAGGACAGCCATAAATTTCTTAACAAAAGGCTAGCTAGAAATGATTAATTTCCCCTTTCTTTTTTTTTTTTTGCAGTGTTCACAATTGAAAGCTTGTGGTTTGCTATGTATATTGGCCTTCTACAATTGCCCTTATATTTATAGTAGATTGAATAGTAGTTTGGTACCTAGATACTTAGACATGTGGTGCAATAGGCTGAGACCATGTAGTAATTTTACGTGAGCTATGATCTAACAAAGTCAACATCAATGTCTTCCTGCTGTCTAGCTTGAAAGTGACAGCAATGTGCTTGGACGAAAACAAACCCCATTTGAAGACTAGATCAAACCATTAGTTATAACGAGTTTGTTCTTTCATTATGTACTAAAGCAATGTTATTAATTTGTGCTTAAATAGTGTAGTAATTCCCTAATAAAAGATTCACTTTCTCTATTCTTCTGTATATACTAGTCATTTTTTTTTTCGAATGAAAAAGATGATCGTGTCATCATGCCCCCCATCCTCTTTGTCACTTTAGAAATCATGAGGCCTATCAATGGAATGGAACGGAAAGAACCTTAAACTACAAGTACACACCCAACATTGCACAAAACTCGTTGGCTAAGGATCAGGGTCCTAAAGTGGGGCTATAGAGTATCGAAGAGCATCCTGAAAGGAGAAGAAGTAAAGACATTCTTACCGCTACATTAACTTGTTGGTGGTTTATATATTAGTCAATTTAAATGAGTTTCATATGAACTAAATTTTCATCTACTACTTTTCTTTCTTTTGTCTCTAATATATAATCTGTTCCCATTGGTCATCTATCTAAATTCTAATTTAGTTATAAGTGAATTTAAAGGTATTAGGTAGTTCTTCAATATCTTATATATGTTGAATCTTTTTTTTTCTCTAATTTTTTGTTAAACCAATTTTCTTAAGTTTATAAAGTTGCTTTTGGTACAGAGAAATAGGGACCAGCAATTGACTGACCTGACAAATTAAGAGGAATCAATATATATATATATATATATACATATTTATACACACACATACATATATATATATATATAAAAATTTGAAGGTCATATTTTCAATCCTACATGCAAATTCCTCACCCTGACACAACACAGCAGCATGGGTGTGTCTGCATTGCGTTGAACATGGTTAGCTTCCTTCCAAATACCAAGTGGGGCAAAAGTTCATGCATCTGGCAATAACCCCATTGTGAAAGTGATTTTCCAAACAAAAATCCATTGTTTTAGATCCATTTACAATTAACTTATTGTCACACTTTTAATAATCTAATCTGGTTGGTGCCTAAGCTATAAAAAGAAGGTAATTTGTAGAAGGTAATTTGTTTTTATCCCTGAACTCTAAGTTCTATAAAAAGGGTCATTAAACTTAACATCTGATCCGTTAGTCCCTAGATGGCTATGTTTCTTAGGAGAGAAGAAAATATACATACATACACACACACACACACACACACACACACACATATATATATATATATATATATATAGTAGATGAGGAAATATATGGAGAATCCTCTAAATTTTTTTTTTTTTTTTTTTTTATATTGGGAAAAATTGAAGTTGAGGACATATATTGGGAAATCCCTCACATAATCCAATCCCTCTTTTTAAACAACCATAGGTCCTAAAGTCTTCCATTCCCTATCCCCGACCAAGTGCCCACTTTTCTCTCCTACCAAACAAGAACTAACGTTAAAATGTGTTAAGCACCACTAATATTTTGACATTTCAAAAGTTTAAGGGTCAGTCGTGCTAAGTTTAGGGACTAAATCGCAATTTTTAAAAAGGAGTAAGAACCAAACACAAGTTAACCCCTTAAATTTGATGTTATAAGGAAGCATTTTTAATTGGAAAATATTAGGGACCAACCATAAGTTAACCCTTAATTTGATACATAAGGAAACCAAGCATTAATAAATGGCGGGAAAAACCCCAACAATGGTGGGGCCAACTATCATTTTCAGATAAGAACTAAGTAGATTTCAGCAATTTAGAAAAAGGAAGATGATCATCTGGGACGGCGCATGGTAGTAGGTCTCTATGGTGGGCCGTTTTGGTCTCAAATATATGTGAACATTACAGTTAAATATGATTTTAATCTTTGCTTATCATAGCTTAAGATTGGAGACATAATATTAATTCAGAGAACTAAAAGGGAGGGCCTATTCAGCATGTTGCTTCATTCATGTCTTTTCCAAGATGTTTCTTTTTTCTTTTCTCTATTTTGTTCTCTTTCTTCATTTTTCCATACTATAGGAAAAATAATTATTCAATGATATGTTATATTATATGCATATATTTTAAATTGCTAAATATCTATCAATCACTTTTCACCTTTTGGCATTACTATGTATATATTCCGTTATTGAAGGATGACCATACATACATACATACACAGAATGATCAAGATAGCATACTTTTGATCCACCAAAAAGTTTGTGCAGTAACAACATAGTGGAGATGCAGGAAAGAGCATAATGAGTTGTTATGGTCTTACATCACTTGTTCATATTCTGCATAAATTATATATTTATATATATACAATACAATTTATTGGGCTAGTTTTTCCTTCTACAAACCGCTTTTTCTCCCCGAACTTTGATTGAATTTGTAAGATTTCACTTGAGCTTTTAATTGTAACAAGGTAACCATTTAAAAAAATAAAAATAAAAATACCAAGTGTCCCTAGATCAATGAATAAAGTCGAGATTTAGAAGAAAGTACCCCTCATACATGTGGCATGACGTACTCTTTTCGCCATCTAAAATTTCAGTCTCTTTTTTCCATGAAACGCGCTTCAATACTTTGTTATATCGAGGGGTGATCAAATAGTCAAAATCAAAAATTCAGAGGATGCTATTACTCCAATTTAGATACATGAATTGATGAACCACTCCTTTTGAGGTGACTTATTTGCTAGAAATTGTGCACGTAGTGCTCTTCTTGACCAACCGGCCACATTTGATTTTCTTTTACTAATGTTGTCATTGAAACATAGTCTAAAACTTTTGTTGCGCTAGATTTTCTGGCAAACCAACATGAATATCTAGTTGAAGCAGCATTGTCCTTAACAAATTGAGTATAAGGCAGGCAAGAGAAGTGAGGAACCACGTGAAATCTCAATCCAAAATTATGATTCAAGAGGTTTTCTTGGATGAACAAGAGACAAAGTGGGTCCTACTCCCACCTTTGTACTAATTCAGCTGCTACAGATGAGCCCACATGCATGGTAGTGGGTAAAAATGCTAATTTGGCAACAACTAGATTTTCAACGCTGTAGGGTTTTCAATCATCGAGGAGACTTTCAAGTAAAATTTGGAATTGAATAATGAATATTTATGCTGCTAGTAAATACACTTAATAAAAGTTTCGAGATATATATATATATTTTATTAATAATAAAGGAAACTATCAAGATTCAAATTTGAGTGGATACACGCACACACTCGCGCACTCGACCACTTGATCTAGCCTCAAGTGGCAATAGAGAAACGTGAAATATTGAGGGCATTTTGAGAATTGAAGTCGGGACCTCTCGCACCCAACCACTTTGCTACATGTGTTCCTGCTTACTTTGGGGTGGTGGCCTCTCAAAGGCTCCTCTTTGGGGAACACACACACACACACACTCTCTCTCTCTCTCTCTCTCTCTCTCTCTCTCTCTATTTTATTTTATCTTATTTTTTTCCTATCAGGAGCAAAAGTGACCTAAATTTGGAGGGAATTTATAAAATTTGTCAGTAAAGATCTTATCAAATGCAATATCAATAACAGAAGAAGCGTTTGAAGATCAATGCAAACTTCAACTGTCTCCGGAAATAAAGCTCAGTTGGTGGAGCAAATAACTAACTTCATTCTAGGAAATGCAGAAGTTTTAGCTTCTTCTTCTCATTGTTATTGTTGTTATTATTATTGTAATGATTATTTGTCATAGAAATGGCTCTTTAAACTCAATTTTAGAAACCAACAAAACATGGATTTCTCATTTCAAATTCAAGGATATTTAGCATCTTGTACAGCTCTAGTGAACATGAATAAGAATGGTTACCAGCAACGAAAGCTGTTACCTTGTTTCGCACCTCAATCCAGCTACAACCCGGCATTTTCTTGACCCCTTCATCAACCATTGCTTGCCTAACCATTTCTGCTTCATTCCACTGCCCACTAGCACAATACAAATTTGATAGCAAGACATAACTTCTCTCTTTATGTGGCTCTAAGTCTTTTAAAGCTTTTCCTAAATGTATCCCAAATCCTACGTTTCGATGTGTTGAACAAGCTCTGAGAAGAGCCTCGTATGACCTGATATCCAAGGCATCCCCTGTCCCCAAATACTTAATGGCCAAGTCTTTTGCTTCGGAAAGATGACCACCTCGGGCAAGCATATCTACCACGCATGCCACATGGTCCATTTCAGGGGAAAGTCCATGAATTGACCTCATATTTTCATAAAATTCACGGCTTTCGTCTATAAGCCCTGAATGGCTGCAAGTCATCAACAAGCCAAGGAAGGTCACTTTATCAAGTTTCACTCCGGTCGCCACCATTTCTTCATAACACTTTAAAGCGCAGTTTGGTTGTCCGTGCAAACCAAATGCAAACAACATGGCATTCCAAGATACCAGATCTTTATCAGGAATCTCATGGAATGCACGGTAAGATCCTTCTAAATCTCCGCATTTTGCGTACATGTTTACTAAGCCATTGCCTACGTATGCATAACCATTGAAGCCACTGCGAACTACACATCCATGGACCATTTCACCGGGTCCTAGTACTGCCAAGCTTGAACAAGCATGAAGGACGGCTCCAAATGCAAAATCATCTGGTTGTATACCATTTCTCACCAGATCGACGAAGAAGCTAAGAGCTTCTTCACCATGCCCATTTCTTGCATACCCTGAGATCATAGATGTCCATGAAACAATATTCTTCTTGGGAGTTCGTTGAAATGCAAGGAACGCTTTGTCCATGTCGCCCACTTTCATATTAGCATCAATTATAGCATTCCATGACACTTGACTTGGTGTTCCAATGGACTCAAACACCTTCATAGCATCACTCAGGAAACCATGTTCCGCATAAAAACTCAAAAGCGAGTTCATTGCTTCTACTGCAGAGCTCCAACCGCTCTCCAAACACGATTCAATTTCCCCACACCGTGCGTGACCTGCAATCATTATATTCCAAGCGATCTCCACTCTTATTGGCATAACTTCAAACACTTTATCTGCGATATCAAACTGACAAGCCTTGGTATGAGCAAACAAGAGCGAACACCAAGTCACTTCATTCCTAAGATTCATCTCTTCAAACACTCCGGTAGCACTAGAGGGACTCAAACACTTTCCGTACATATCAATTAGCGCATTGCCAACAGGCAAATAAGATCGGTAACCCGAAACAAGTATCAAAGCATGAATTTTAGTTCCACATCGAAGCTCGTAAGCGCCAGCACAGCCACTCAGAGTTGCAGTGAACGTGAAGTGATCGGGCCTAGTATCGCACATTCTCATTCGTCCGAAAAGAGAGAGGACCTCTTGGTGAAGACCCAGATGGGAATAGCTGGCAAGCATTGCATTCCAAGCGACTGCATCTCTGTGAGACATTTCATCGAACATCTTGCGAGCATGGCTAATCCGACCCGACTTCGCAAGGGAGACTATCCTAGACGTAATTCGGAACACTTCTAACTGCATCTCATTCTTTCGCAACATCCATTGGAGCCCATTAACGTAATTCAGCCTCTCTTTTGATTCTGCTCATGATTGCAAAGAGAAACGGAGATGAAATTCTGTTCTAGCTATATCGTTGTTCAACCAAAGGGTGTCGGAATTTATTACTGATTGTTGTGACCACCAAAAGGGTAGGATAATTTTTGCTTCCAAGTAGAATAACAATGAGCGACAGTTGAAGATGGAAAGGAACTGACGACAAAGTAGAGTTTATTCGGGCGCGCAATCACTAGAAAATAGCAGCTACTGTCAGTGGAGAGGAGAAAATCTAAAGAGTACCCTGAGTTTCAGCTAAATACAATAGGCATGTTTAATTATTTTAATTTGAGTTTTTAATTCGAGTTTGATGTGATTTTATGTGATAATTTTTTATTATAGTAAAAAAATTAAAATGTAAAAAATTTTTACTATAATAAAATTTAAATTTTAAATTCGAATCGATAAAATGAACGGGGTCAATAATTAGCCATGTGTTTTCTAAAAATTCAAAAAGTATTCTCACATTAGAATATCCTAAAATCAAGAGAAAAGAAAAATAAATAAAATTATTTTAGCATCCGACTGTTATAATGAAACATCTCATTAGTACATATATTTTTAATAATATTAATATGATATTTTTACTTTTAAGATAATATTTTTTCAATACCTTAAAATTGATTTTTAAGACGTACACCGTCCAAATTGCTATTGTTGCTAATTAAATTCAAAAAAAATATTACGTTATGCTGCTGCACACAATTTTTTTTAAAAAAGCAAATGGAAACTCTAGAATCGTAATATGGGAACTTTGAAAAGCTTTTAGACATCAAAATGTCACGTTTTAAAATCTAAGAGTCAAGTGAAAATAGAAAAAAACTTACGGACACAAATAGAACACTAAAAATATGTACATATATATATATATATATATATCTTTGTGATGATTATCCCACTTAAATAATAAGATTAAGCAGGATTTTTATGGTTAGTTAGTTATAAGCTCTACCATATTTATATTACATCTAAAACTATTATGATCACTTTTTTTTTTTAAATACATGGAGATGTATTACCTCATTAAATTATGTTTTGGTTAAAATGAAGATGCGACTTGAGAACCTTTGCTTTTCATGTAAAGTTTTGATGTTTTTTTCTGCTTTCTTTTTTTTTTTTTTTCCTTTGAAAGGGATATTTTTTTTATTCATATCATATCCTTTTTTTTTTTTTTGTTGTTGTTGATCTTCTCTTGTAGCTTCTTTATTCTTTAATAATCTCATTTGTGGTGACCAGAGGAGCCCCCAATACTTCTAAAGATTTATTATTATTATTATTATTTTATATGAGTATTGATCTAAGTAGACTAACAAAAGTTAAGTTTGTGGCGAAAAAATCAGGTTCGATGTTAATGCATAGACAGATTTGGTGATATTAACTTGACTCTTATGCAACTTTTATCTACTAAGCATTGTGTATCCACTTCATAGTAACAACATTGATCTCTAATTTCGAACTCCGTAGCTAGAGAAAAATAAAAAACAAAAAATGCTGATTTTTTAAGTCAAATGCTGATTTTTTTTTATTATATTCTCAGAAATCACAAAAGAACCCCCTTATTTCAACAAAATGATTAAAAAGGATCACCTCTAACAAAAATGGTAAAAACTTGCTTGTGAAAAGGCAAAAGAAGCCATAGTTAAAAGAAAATGATTCTGTTCAGCAGAGAGAGAGAGAGAGAGAGAGTTTACCTGAAAGAAAAAAACAAACCAACAAAGTTTAGGCTTATTCATATAACCCAAAAAAAGGGTCGCACATCCATTAGAAAAAACATGTTCACATATTCGCATCCATTAGATTTGGGAATTTGTGATGTATTGTTCATTTTTGTGGGATGAAGAAACTTATATAGCATTTATTAAACTTTCATTATTACAATTTCTTCTAGTTTTTTTTTTTTTTTTCACGAAAAAAGAGCTACGAGAATTTGGCTAAAATAACCAAGTGAAAAAGTAAAATTAGGAAAATGACTTTTTAATTTTAATTTTATTTATTTCCAGAGAAAGTTATGAACACCAAGTTTTGGAGTAAACGACAACTGGGTTCTCAGTGACAGTCTTCTTCACGGTCTCCTCGAGCCGAGACCCGAACGAGGAAGACATGGCTTGGACCGAGATGGGTCTGCATCTTCTCGAGCCATGGACGCCGAAGAAGCTTGTCGCGCTTGAACTGACGTTTCTTGGGCTGAAACCGTTGTTCAGAGGAATTGCGCAGACGGAAGACTTAACGACAGAAGAGAGAATGCGAGGAGAGCTCACAGAGATTGAGGTGAAATTGGATGAGACCACCATTGATGCAGACTTGGTTTCTTGGTTGCCTTTTTTGGTGTGGCTATTGCGCTGGAGAATTTGGCTAAAATAACCAAGTGAAATCCTAACCTCGGAGCCAGACTGCACCTCCTCCTTCGAGTCTAGAGTGAGCGTGGAGAGGAGAGAGATTGTCATATTTTAAAAGAAAGTCATTTTACCAATTAAAACTTTTGGGTAGTCATTTTGCAAATAAAGAAACCTCTTTATGTCATTTTTGCAATCAGCTCGTTTAGGGGCTTTGTAGTACACTTCTTCCAATTGGCGTGGACAAAATCAAGCTTTATGAGAAATAAATCTCCAATTTTTAAAACGTCTTTTGCCTCCAAATTTAGGTTCTTCAAATCGTCTGGACAACATTTATTAACTAATTGGCATACAACCGTCCAAGGAGCCAATAATTTGTGGTTTACATAACAGAATTGACAATAAAGTAATTGACCAACTCCAGAAAATCCTTGAATACATTTTCTTGAGGTGAATGAATTGAAGAAATGGAAGTCAATAGTTATCAAGAGAGTTTAAGAATAAAAAATAAAAAGAAATTGTAACTGTAATACACTCCACTTGAGAAAGAAAGTTTAGTTTGGATACAGGAAAAAAAAAAAATCAGTGTAGTTGTGGACGTACAAAAGAATAGCCAGACAGACCTCAATAACGTGCCATAACTTTTTTGAAGTGTTCCTTGGGTGCTGCAAGCAACAACAAAAAAAGGCCAAAGGGGAAAAATAAAAAATCAAATTAAGAGCTATTTAAGTGGAGATTAACTATCCCATTTTTTTAGGATTAATTTTATAAATACCTCCTGAATTTTGTATCTTGTTTCAACATACCCCTAAATTTTGAAAGGAGTTCATTTCGCCCCTGCAATAATGGTATTTTTATAAATGCCCCCTGAACTATTGATCTTATGTCTACTTACCCCCTGGGCTTTTAAAAAATCAGGGACCAAGTAGATACAAAAGTAATAATCCAAGGGGAAGGTCCAGTCATAATCCAAGGGAAAGGTCGACTTAAAATCAATAATTTGGGAGGCATATATAAAAGTATATCACATCATCATTTTTTTTCAGTTTTATAAATGTTGGGGGTATTTTGAATAATGGTACTTACTTTAGAGGGATTTGGGAGTATTCAAGAGGCATTATGAAATTAATCGTTTTAAAAAGGACTAATTATTTTTGTCCACACTATCTTACCTGGCAATCCAGTGAATCTCTCAAACTGTTGATATGCTTGGCCTATGAACATCTCCAACCCGGTAACAATGGTGGCTCCACATTCCGCCGCTTCTCGGAGAAGTCTGGTTATTTTGGGAGTATAGACAGCATCGAAAACCAGACAGTAATGCCTCAGAGCGTTCTGCAAAAGAAATGAAATAAAGAAGCGAATCAACCTTAATGCCCTTGCCTTCCAAAAGTGATTGTTAATTGAACAATCACAGGGATTAATTTGAGGAACTTGTCGTCTACAAAAGTTACTTGACCTGGTGAAACCCAAAGTACAAAACTACCCAAACTCTTTCTTAGATTTGTTTGACTAATTAATCTTGTTATTTCAAACCAACCAAAGAGTTTATTTAACTATTTATGCAAATGTTAAGCTGATTTCATGTAAGTTGTCACGGTCACAACATCGAAAATATGTCTGTACGAAAATCATTATCGAGGATATTTTGTGGAAGTACAAATGATCTTTTTCTTTTACAAGGTAAAGGCAGTAGGCTATCAGCGAAAACCTTAGAAATAGGCGTTTCATTGATTTTTGGCTGCATTCCAATAGATGTTGTGTTTGCAAGAATCATTCCATCCTCTGGATGGAAATTATCCAAGTCAGCAAGTGATAAAGCCTCGCCTCCAATTGTGTCTGCAATTTCTCTAGCTCGATCTAGAAGTAGAGATGAAACAAATAAATAAGGAAACCAATGAAAAATCAAATCATAGATCATCATAATGTAACTAACAATTTGAAAATTTTAAACCAAAACATAGAAAAATAAATAAAAAGGGCAAGCACGAACAGTAAGCCTTTGCGAGTTTGTTCGGACTTGGGACTCCTAATTGATCTTAAAGTAAACAAACGAATGCTGATCCCGTGATAAGACTAGCTAGGCTTTGAACTAATGCAACAGGAAACAACAAGGAGACTACTCAGCAAGAGCCATAAAAATGGCATCGATTTGAAGGTCAAAGGAATCCATTTTTCAAAGAAAAAGTAAGTACCATCAAATGATTATTTCAATTTAGAACTTGATTAGTAAATATTTCAACCATAATCAGAGCTTTACATGCTCATTTGCTATGTGTTCCACAGAGACTCTTAATAGCGACTTCATTTTGACCATTTTATAATTTTATTTATCCTTCTAGGTTTTATTCTTAAAAGAAAACCATCATTTTTTTCAAATGTACTTTGACATTTCCTTAGTGTAATAAGCATGAGGATTAAATCAGGTATAATAAAGTTTAAGCACAGTTGTTGGTAATTATTCATTGTGGAAACACTAATGAACCCAGATAAGGAAACTACCACAACCACACAGGCAAACAAAATAACATACTTGGAAAATGAAAAAAATAATCTCATTGTCTATGCCAAAGCATAAAGGACAGAGTAATGCTAGAACCGAACCATAGGTGCGATTGACAATAACAACCCTTGCTCCCTTCTCTTTTGCACCATAAGCGAGTGCCTTGCCAGCACCGCCAGCACCAATGACAATGAACAGCTTACCGGCTAAAGGAGAACCAGCCATACTGCTACCATTATGCGAACCTATACATGTAAAAAGGCACATGATGAGAAGCTTGCAGGTAAATTAAATTACCAGAGAAAGTGTTGAAAAAAACTGAACCAATAACACTCAAAAGAAACCTCGTAATCCATCTTCAATGGCCGAGATTGCACCAATGTAGTCTGTATTGAATCCCAATAACTTCCCATCACTTTCCCTTCTTATAATGCAATTAACAGCTCCTATTGACTTGTATTTGATCAAGATATAAATCAGCCATGTATGAGAACGTCTTAAAGAGAAATTAAAACATATTGAACAATCAACATTAAAGAAATTGATTAGTCATCCCGTAATGTGCTAAATAAAACTATAAAGGAAAAAAAAAAAGGCAACAACATAATATGAATGGTTTGCCAACTACCTTTGCAACTGGATCAACCTCGTCACAGCACTTAAGTGCAGCTTCCTTGTGAGGAATTGTAACACTGTAATAAAAAAAATGATAATGCAAGCATAAGATCAAAACTGCAGTAAAGACTACACAGATAGTCTGAGAAGAAGAAACGCGATGATCTTGGTTTAAGTAGATTGCAAACCACATTTGTGCATAACATAATTCAACACAAATAGAATAAACTGAACCTGAATCCAGCAAAATCTACGGATGAGTAAGTTTGGAGAAAATTTGCAATGTCATCTACCAACAAATGTAGATAAATCCCATTGAAGCCAACTGACTTGAATGCTTCATTAAATAAAATGGGCGATTTGCTGTGGCCAACTGGCTTTCCGATTACACCAAAAACTTTTGTGTCAGGCCCTATATGTCTGAAATTGTATAGATGTAGAAGGTCATTCATGGTAGGTTGACCAGGAGCTGAAACAATTCTCGATTCCAGAGTACCAAAACTGAGAAAACCACCAAATTTTGCGCAAAGTATCCGCGAAATCAAACCCCTCTCACCCATAACAAGTCCTATTGTTGGAACCTGAACTTCCAGTAAGCAGTAAATTAATGTTTTGTTTTTATATGGAGATTCTAGTAAGTATTACAAAATTCAGCATTGGAAAAGGGGGAAGGTTAAAAACCTAGTGTCCTTTTTTACTAGTGTTTGTGCATATATATAGTACCGAAGTACCTAACAGCAATTACAGCATGACTTAAGTCTTCACGTCTTCTGTCAACAACTTCCAGACATAAGATATTCATGCAATTTCTCTTTCAATGACAACGAGATGCAATCATTAAGGGCTCGTTTGTTTGCTGCGTTTAAACTCATAGTTTTGATTCTACTACAGTGTTTTCCTCTCACAAAAAATTTGAATTTCAAATGCCAAAATCAAGAATCGCTGGTTTAAACGCATGAACCAAACGAGCCCCCTAAGCTGAACAAAGATTCAACCACCAGGTCACTTGATTATAAAAATAATCCTTGCCAACAGGAAAAGGAAAATGAGTTCATTTTTCACTTGTAACTTGCTAACTTGAACAAAAAGCACCAACAAGTATGTAAATTACAAATTATGCTTCCTTCCACAATGCATACTCATGTACATATAAAGTCTACTTAGAATTCAGTCCTCTCCTTGATTTCTATAAAGAGAGAGCATTTATCCCAAGTACCGGAAATTAACTTCTATTCAAAGATTTTCCAAGGCAATAAATTATAGACAAAGCTTAAAGTAGACTTACTTGAGAATGCACGGTTATATGGAAAATGCGTGCCACATCGATGATATCCAAGGCAGTCGTTGCAATCTTCACGATGTCAGCTCCAGTTGCTTGTATTCGTGCTACAAGGTTGCCAAGATCCTCAACAGATGGTGTATTTTGATAGTTATGAGAAGAAACAATGACCTTGGATTTTTCAGGCTTCTTTCCATACAGGGATTCATTGAATTCATGAGCAACCTTCACATAGAGATAATTGGATCGATAAAAATAGAGGAAATTGAATTATTAAAAATTAATGCTGCTCTTAACATCCTATTGTTAGATACAAAATAAAAGTGGCAATGCAAGCGAACTTTCTATTATCTTGTGAAAGACATGACTAGGTATGAGTTACAATTAAATTACAACAGAATGTTCTCAAAGGTTTTATCATAAGTAGTCAATAAGAAACTCATTGCAACAAATAGCATCTCATACTCAAAAAGCGACTCATGGAACCTAATATCTGTGAAAGATACTATCAATTCATTTTTATTCTTCTTTTTTCTTTTTCCATTCCCTTTTGGTAACTAAGATTCTGTTGTTCTATAGCATTCTAGGTTCCAGTTGAAAATCAAATGTTCCCCAACATTCAGAACCTGGAAAACACCCAGCAAACAAGAAACAATAACTCATAATAAAATCATGTCGACATTGTTTTTGAACTTTGTGATTTCAAATTTTCAAAGTAAGCAACCTGAAGCTCAACATCTACATAATCGGCACCATACTCCATGGCTAGTCGAAGTGCATCCAGTCGCGTTTTTTCATCACCATCATACTGACCACCTTCCCATATTGGTCTGTGAAATACACCATAAAAGATAGAGAACCTTATTGAGGAGATCATAGTATAGAATTATTGCAATGAGAACCAAATTGCATCATTCCAAGTACATTGACAATAACAAGTTATTGATCTGCCGTTTGGTTCATAGGTTTGCCCACAATTCAAACCTTTTTACTACAGTGTTTTTACCCACAAAAAAATGTATAACCTATGAACCAAATGGAAAATGACCATGCTGGTACCCTGTCTTTCTTGTAATTATGACAAAGGTACCCTGATACTCTAATGATATTATAACCGAACACTGTCATTCGTATAACCCCGAGGCCCTTTTCTTTTTCTCTGTTAACCATTTTCAACTATTTGGTTCGAGTTTATTTCCAAAAAACAAAGAAAATATCTCAAACACCCAAAAGGGTTCTAACCACTAACCCGAAATTAAGACTAATCTTTTTTTCTTTTCTTTTTTTTTAAGGTAATTGATAAGGTAAATTGAATTATATCTATCTAGTTGTTGAATTTCTTGATAACGAACCTATAAGTGAATAGGGTGGGCAAAGGGCTGCCTTTAATCAGCGCCTTGAGGTCTTCATGAGGATCAAAAAACTTCAAACTGTCCAATCTGATCTCCACAAGATCAGCACCACTGGATTTTGCCGTAACCATGTCAATTATCATCTTATCTACTGTTTCCCCCATTATTGGAGTACAAACTAGAGTTGAGTTCTTCAACATTCCCTGACTCCCCACTTGCAACCCAGTAGCAGAAGCAATCTGAATTTCAATCAAACAAGGAAAAAATAAGTTTAAAAAATACAGAATTGGGATGATAATCAGCAAAAAATTAATATCTTGTATGGTTAATTATAAAATGAAGAAAATGCTAAACTCTCAAAACTCAATATAGTCTCGCATTCTCCGAAGTCAAAAATTTTTAAAACTTATCTTGCTCCTAATTTTCTCAGCAACCAAACAATAAAAACAAACACGACTTTGTGATGATAATCAGTCAGAATTAAACTTGAAAAGAAAAAAAAATAAAAAAAAAAATAAAAAACGTGAAAACAACTCGAGTTTATTTTAGGAACTGAACTTATCTTGTATATAATTTTCTCAGCAACCAAACAAGATAACCAAACACGACATTGTGATGATAATCAGTAAGAATTAGACTTGAAACAAAAAAAAAATTGAAAAGAACTCAAGTTTATTTTAGGAATTAAAACTTATCTCGTTCAAAATCTTCTGAATTTTAATCAAATACAGAAAACTAAAAATTAAATAAAAAAATTACACGATTTTGATGATAATCAGTGAGAATTAAACTTGAAAAGAACAAAAATGAAATTGAATGTCTTGTTCAATTTACTACGAAATTGAAGAATTGCTAAAGTCTCGAAAACTCAGAAAGTCTCGCATTCTCCGAAGTCAACATTTTCAAACTTATCTTGTTCATAATTTTCTCAGCAACCAAACAATAAAATTAAAACCAAAACCAAAATATATAAAACAAACGAATAAAACAGTTGAGTGATGAATATCGGTCCAATTTATCCCATCAAACCAAAACTGGACAAATTCTTAAAAACACGTCCACTTGACCATTTCGGCAGCTAAAACATATTAAAAATGAAAGACCAATTTTCAAAAAACTCAGAAGACACGTGGCAGATATAGAACAAGCGAAAGTGTCAAGTTCTAAAAGCTTTGCATAACAATATGTCACAAATTTTCCGACGCTCCCCGGGAACCAAACAGAAAATGACGAGATTTTTTTTTCAATATATATATATATATATAGAGAGAGAGAGAGAGAGAGAGAGAGAGAGAGAGGAGGAATTACCGCAACGCTGGTAGAGTCCATTTTTGATAATCGGATATGGCTCGTTGGTGTGGAATGAAGCCGGCGAGAGTTTTCTTTCTTTTTTTTCTTTTTTTTTTTCTTCTTTTTTTTCTTTTTTTTTCTTTTTTGGGAAAGACGGGGAGAGAAGGAAGTTAGGTGAGCTTGAGAGAGTGTCCAAGCGATGTGGTGAAGGGTCAAGGTTGGTGACTACTAAAGGACACCAAAGATTTTATATTTTCTATTTTCTTTTTCTTTTTCTTTTTCAAAATTGTTCAGTTTGGTTGGTCAGTCCAAAAGTCCAAATTCCAATTCTCCACGGCTCCACCTAACTCCGATCACCCATCAGTTCAAAAGATGAAATTGAAAATAGGGAGAGAAAAAAAAATAGATAGAGATGAATTAAAATTAATAGATAAATAGTTTATATAAGTTAATAAATAAGTTAAATTACTATTTTCGTTTATAATTTATCTTATTATAAATCATAACTTGATAAATTATTATCTATAATTCACGATTTTTGTCCATAACTTGTCTAGTTATGAACCATAACTTGACAAGTTTGTTCATAACTTATCTGGTTATGAACCATAACTTGACAAGTTATGACCTATTAATTTTTATAACTAAAAGTTGTATTTTTTTAAGCTTTTTATATTAACTTATTTTTTGCTATTTCCATTGAAAATATTAGTAAGAAATGGAGAAAATTACGTAAAAGATAAACTCAATGCACAGTGATACGTGTACTATTCGTTTATTTCACCGATTTAAATTTAAAATTTGAGTTTTATTACAGTATAAAACTCTTAGACAAAGTCACATTTAACTTTTTTACTATAGCAAAAAGATCTCACATAAAATCACATCTCAACTCGAATTAACAAACTAAACGGACCCTAAAACTATTGAAGGTCCTTTTCTTCACCTCTTGGAATTAAAAATAGACACATTAATATTATAATATAAATAGTTTACTAGAATCTAATTTTTTATAATTTCATTAATTATGAAATATATATATCTATATAGGATATAACTATTTTGTTATGTATATCAAAATATCTTATTGTTATCTTGTGTTTTTATTAATGCTAATTAAAGATGTGCGTCATGATTTATTTAAAACGATGGTTATATAAATCGCCAAAAAAAAGAAAGAAAAAAGAAAGGATAAAAGAAATAAAGACAAAAGTGAGAAAAACTATCTAAAGCAAAAGATTGGAAAAAAAAAAGGATTAAAAAAAAACTTAAGAAAAAAACTTGTGCGAAATATTTCGCAACTGAAATTAAAATTTATGAGAATCATAAATAAAAGATGTTTATGTAAGAATTTGAGAATAAATTAATTTAACATGATAATTAGAAGAAAATAATATTGTAGATAACCATAATAAAAGTATTTAAATGAGATATATTTGAAAATATATGATAGAAGATGCAATAAGAAAAGATAAGAAAGAAAAAAGAACAAAAGAAACGGAATAACTAAAAAAAAGAAAAAAAAAAGGTAAAAAAAAATGAGGAGGCAACAAAACACCCTCCCAAAAAAATTGATTCACACTTAGTAGGATAGGATAAATTAAAATGGTACATTCACCTTTATAAAAACGTTCTTTCAGTATCTTAAGACCGACTTTTAATATATAAAATGTCTATTTGACCATTCTCATTAATTAACAACAACTAATAATTTTCTGAAAAATTCTAAAAATACTTTAAAACAATTAAAAATTTAATAAATTAAAATATTTTTAGAAAATAATTTAACATTATTAGTTTATATTTAATTAATGAAAATGACAGTTTCAGCATTGTACATCACATAAATTGTTTCAGGGTAACAAAAGAATATTTATTTAAAGCTAAAGATACATTTTTAATATTATTAAAAATACAGAGTACCAGCAAAATGTTTCGCTATAACAGATGATACCAAAATAATTTTATCCTTAAATAAAATGTATGATTTGCGGTTGAGGAATGTTCAATCTGTAAATTAATCTAAACTCGATTAGGATATTCTCAATCCATTATCAATACAAAATGCCTTCTAATCTAACAGATTGATTTGATTGGGTTGATTTACTGGATTCATAAACTATGTGAACACCCTTAATTTTAAGGGTTCCTATAATTATATTAAAACTTCTTAGATTCTAAACTTGAGGTTTTTTTTTTAAAGAAAAAAAAAAGACAAGCGAACAAATTAGATGATAAAAATCTTTCATTTTTTTAAATGCTAAAAAAATGACGGAAGAAAGAAAAAAAATTAAATTAACAAACCAATGTTGTAAAAATTTAGAAAATTTTCGAAAGCATTCCATATCTTTTGTACCACATTAGTTGTTGTATTTCTATTTTCATATTTGAGGTGTGAGATTTGAAGGAACATTCTATAGAACTAGTTTTGTAACATGCTCGACATATATTGTCATATTAGAGACACGTGAAAATTTTATTTTTTATCGAATAATGAAAAATTCATTTATACATCCACTTAAGAACTTTTGAGTGTATAGATAATAATTGACAAAAAAAAAAAATTAAATTGAGACATATTTGAAGAAAATTATTTTAATTAATAAAAAATAAAATAGGAACACATGTGAAAAATTTACTCTCATGAAAATAAAACAAGAAACAATATATTTTTAAAAAACACACAAAAAAGAACTCGAAACCATGATTCTGGTTCAAACAATGTTTGTTTACAAAAATTAAAAAGTAGTTCTGACTTGACTCACTCAGAATCAGTATTTGATTTGGATGGTTCTGATTCAAGGTTTGAATCCTGATGTGATGTTTTAAACTAGAATCACCTTTGATTCTAAAACCACCTCCCCCTTGATTTTAGGTGATTCAACCCCTGATTCTGGTTCTGATTTCAAAACTATGATTTGGACCCAAAATCATGAATTATGGTTCGATTTCAAAATCAAAACTAAAATCACTCTAATTTGAACTCTCATACCAAACGAAACTTACGGGTTGTTTTTTTGCATTTTTGAATTAGAGTGACATGAGTGATGATCTTGAGTTGAGTTTGATTTATAACTTGAGTTGAAGTTGTAATTTGAGTTTGTGTTTGGATGTGGACATTTGAATTATGATTTGAATTGATAATCTTTTTGAGTTTGTGTTTAGGTGGGTCAAAACTTAAATTTATATTTAGATAGTATTTTAATAAAAACTCAATGGTGATGAAAAATTTTAATAGAGTATATGGGTGGGTTTTATTCGTCTTTTCATTGTGAATGCATAGAAAAAAAAATCATCTCCATCAAAATTAAAACGAAAAAGTTATGACATTTTTAAGAATAGAAAAAAAACTGTTCATTAATTTGAGTTCGAGTTTCTGAACTCGAGTGAAGGAAAAATTTGAACTCGAGTTTTAGTCCTAAACTCAAGTTGAAGGAAAAACTTGAACTCGAGTTTAACCTAAAAGAACATGAACTCGAATAAAGTTGTAACTCGAGTTATTTTTTTTTTAGTTTTTTCACTCAAAAGAACAAGCCCTTAGTAACTTGAGGTATTGTTTTATGATATAAAATGTCAAATTTACCATTCTTATTACTTTACCAAAAACTAATAAATTTCAAAAAAGAATTAAAGCATTATTTTTATTTTTATTTTTTAAATGTTTAAAAAAATTTCAGATTTTTTCTAAATTTATTATTATTTTTTGATTAATTAATGAGAAAAGTAATTTTGACATTTTACGTTCTAAAAAAGACCTTAAGGTACTAAAAAAATGATTTTTTAAAACGTCGATGTACCAATTTAAAATTATTAAAAATACAAGGTACTCAAAAATAATTATGCTAAAACATAGAGTACTAATATGAATTTTTCCCTATATTTTTTAGGCATACATTTGAGAAAAAATATTTTAATATAGCATATAAAAAGATTATTTTTAAAAGGCACATTTAAAAGTATAAATTTCAAAAGTGGTATTAACATGCATCTTTTAATAAAACTTACATGTATAGATAAATGAAACACGTTTAAAAATATTAGAAAATATTAAATAGTGTAGTAATTATTAGCGTACCTATGAAAAGGAAAAGTTTTTTAAGTAAAAATTCATTGCAAAAAATTATTGAAGTGGAGAAAATTTAGAAAGTGTATTTATAAAAGCCACATTTAATAAAATGATTTCTACAAATTTGTAAAAATATTTAATTATAATATATTTGAAAAGAAGTATTTCAACATTAAGAAATCTATAGAACACTATAAATGTAAAAAAATGAAAAACGATAATATTAGTTTAGCAAAAACATAAAGGTTAAAAAGGTAATAAAATGATAGTATAAGTTTAGGGGAAAAAACTCAATATCACATCAAACAAATTAAAAAAGTTGAAAAATAAAAGAATAAAACCCAATGAAAAAAAAAAAAAAAAAAAAAGGAGAAGCAAAAACAAAAAGACAAAAGACAAAAGTACAAAAGGATAAAATAACTTGATTAAAATTTTGAATAGTGTTCCAAAAAACTCTCGTTTATAATATAGTTATAGATTATAAATATATATATATGTAAACTTTTATGAACCCACTAGTTTAGGTGCATGAGATCCACGTATTAAGTTGTAAGTGATGTTTTTATAACGTAAAATAAGGACAACAATATACAATAAAAATAGAAGAAAGATTTTACTTAAAATTTTTTAAAGAATGCATATTATGTGGCAACAAACATATTCTACCAGTAATTACACATATGATTCTACCACAATGTATAGAGTTTGATCCTCACACCCAATTTATGTGAAAAAAAAAATTATATGTTAATAGTAGTTTAAGTCAAAAGACTATATTTAACCATAAAAATACATGAATTGTAATTTATAAGATAATAAAATTAAAAAAATAAATGAATTGAAACTTAAAAAGATAAAAAAAATAAAACACTTAAAACTCGCCGTTTTGGATTACTATAGGATAAACATAAATTATGATATAACGAAATAAAAAAAACGTAATGGAGTTGAAACATAAAAATAAAAGGGAAAAGAAGAAAAGCGCTCAAAGATACCGCTTTGATTACTAAGGTTAAATAATAGTCACATATCCACACTTTTATATATTTAAGATTTGGGATTTATAATTAGAATTTAGATTTAATATTAGAATTAGGGTTTAGAATTAGAATTAAGAGTTAAACTTCAGCATTTAGTATT